AAACACACACACTCCCTATGCACGGCTCGTCTGCAACAGCGTGTGCCCTCGTGTACCAGCGTGCATCACAGGGCAGGTTCAACTTCCTAAACATCCTACCTGTCCATCTGCCTCACGTCAGCACGCCGCCCCTCGCCTTTTCACGCTCTCGCTCCTTCCTGCGTACAGCGAACACAAGCCCCTTCCACAGTGTGGCTGATTAGAAGACGAAACGTGAAGCAAAAACGAGTCTAATTTTGTGTTACAGTGTTGGCACAAAGCAGGTCTACAGCATAGAGCAGATCTACAGAACAGACCTACTGCCACATTTGGCTGAAGTTTGCCTAACAAAAGTGCACAAATGCATCTGTGTTTGTCACGATGTGCGTTTGGTTTGGTAAATGTGCAGAGGCTGGTAAATATCACTGCAAAACCAGAAAAGAATGCAAGTCCAGTTTGGAACTTTACAAAACAGGTTTAAAAATCTTCCTTCACTTGTTTCATAATTTTGTGTAAAGTGCCAGAGGAAGTTCTCTTAAAGAAGGGGTTCTCAAACTGTGGGTGAGGGTCCAAAAAAGGAGCATAGAGTGTTTCAGTGCAGTTTGCTTGGCTTTGTATTAGGTAGATCATTTTGACTTGGTCATTTTGTAAGTAGCTCGCATGTTGAAAAAGTATGAGCACCCCTGATCTACTGTATTCTGATCCTTGACGTAATCACTGGAGAAATATGAAGTTGAGCAGAGGCGGTAGGTGGCACCAGCCTGACTAGTCTCGTCCCACGTCTACAAAAAATGCATTGTGCTCTAGGGTCAGGAACACAAGTCGATATCGTACATGGACAGAGGGGTCTATTAATATTGACCCAAGGAAAGACCATTCTGCTCTATATGTTTTCAATAATTAAAATTCCACTTAAAGCGCTTCTAATTTTCTTCTCTTGGCGTTGTATTGACGGGTGAGTTGTTTACCGTCAGCAGACAAAAGCACTTCTTTTTGATTGCCAACTAACTCATGTGGTTTTTTTCCAATTGAGAACAACAAAAGCTCTCGAAAAACACTTCAGTCGACGCAGTTCACTTCACTTTGAATCCACACTTGTCACTCCCATTATACAGGCAATCATAATATTACGTTTTGTTTTTTTCCTCTCCCCGTTTAAAGTGTTCAAATTGGTGTCAAAAATGTAATTACAGTATGGTTTGTGTTCAATTAAGTTTTGCCCAATCTTTAACCGTGGAGAATTGTCATGAGCGGTGGAGTTGATGGTTCTTTTTTCTACAGCCTTGCCCCACATAGAGACTATAAAGAAAGCAATTTAAATTATTCTGACAATAAAGGTGCTGTACTTCATTTTTACTTTGTTAAAGACAAGAAAAACAGAATCAGTGGGGAAACAGTGGCAAAACCTTGTGTCCTTAGGCAAGACACTTCACCCACCTTGCCTTGTATGAAAGTGGTGCCTGTGTGTCTGAAAAAGCACTACATAAGGATAATGTATTATTATTACTGTATTTTTCGGACTATAAGGTGCACTTAAAGGTTGTATAGAGGATTTTTAAAGGGAAAAGAAATACAGCGACAGTTCTTTTTCAAATGTTGTGCATGCGTGACACCACCTTCCTCCTCCACAGCTCCCTCAGTAGAAACATCTCCTCCCGCCTCTTTACTCTAGAAATCATGCTTGTTTACAGCCAGTGTGTGTTCAGAATTACTGTTGAAGTGACCCGTCTAGAAATAATTTAGCGACCGATGCGTCAGTTTTTAGACCCTTCGCCTGCTTCCTTCGCGCAATCGCTGGAAGGAACCTCCAAGAATCACCTCAGTTTGGCTTCGCTCATTTTCCCCTTCTCTTCTTCCTTCAGTGACCTCAAAAACTGACTTTCTTTTGCGGTGAACTGGTCCTGGATTCTCGTCCGCCATCGCAACAAACTTTAAGTGAACTGCGAGGAAGCGACAGTTTGAAAAAGCCTCCAAGAACCGCTCCATAAACCACATAATCCCTGTGCGCCTGCGAGTCCGTTACACTAGAAACGTAGGGAGTTTGATTGACAACCTAACAGCCAATAGAAAATGAGGGAGCCTCGTTTTTTATTGGCTGATGTTTCTGTGGCCTCACTACACCCATAGTTGATAGATTTTCATTCTTTTTTTTTTTTTGTCATCATAATTACAAGGCTGCTGTGTCTCTGTAATGGTATTTTAAACTTTCATTGATAATTTGAAATAAAAAAATAAATAAATCCTCCATACAACCTTTAAAATCCTTTAATTTTTTCAAAAATCAACAGTGTGCCTTATGTATTAATTCTGGTTGTGTTTACTGACCTCAAAACGATTTTATGTTGTACACGGCACTCAAAAATCTGTCAAATTGTTTTAGTACGACTTTGGTAAATTACGAAGCCGCACAGCTTGATGGGTTGTCAGAGCATTACGGCTACCATAGTCTGGAGCCTCCCGGAGTAAAGGCCGAAGTATAGTTCGGTGTCGACTCAACGCACACTGCCACCATCGCCTTCGTCACAGAAAGAACACCTGTATTCCACTGAGTTGTGTCCTTTAATCTGACAGAAGCTGAACCGCATCAGCGCACAAGGAGTGAGCTGTTTTTTCAGCGCTTATAGTTTATGCAAATTAGCCATGTGGTTTTAAGTTTCATTTCTGTAAAACTTAAACAAATGTGCGCAAAGCTGCATTAAACACATTATTACTCAAAGTATATTTGAGTCATCCTCGTAAGACATAAAAAAACATACTTAAATTATCCACCCACATTCACATTGATAATACACATTCACCAAGACAGGGAGGCAACACCGAGCGAATTACACGATCTGCCGATGGATCGTGGATGCCTGGGCTAAGGAATCAATCTCAAGTGTCGTCCGTTTGTTTCACTCAATGCGCCTTATAATCTGGTGCGCCTTATAGTCCGAAAAATACTGCATTATTACTACAGACAATACCCATAAAAAGAAAAAAAAGAAAGAAAAAAAATCCTTACTTCATTCTCATTTTGCTTATTTTGATATGATAATCTTTTGTGCCTTATTTATATTATTATTAGTTTGTGCGACCATAATACAGTAGAATCCAAAAACAAGAGAAAGAAATTGTGTTAAAATTATATTTAGTATGCATAGTATGTAATGTTTCTTGCTATATGTAAAGTACCACATTTGTTTGTTTTTTTTACTTTTGTAACTATGTCATGAACAGAGGTGGTTTAATATACGTTTTTTTCTTCTTGCCACCTCATTTCAAGAAATGTGCTTTTGTGTTGTTTATAATGTATGTGTTGTCACGGCCCTGCCTGTCACCTGAGTCTTTACTGTGTGTGGAGGTGGGCGGAGCCTGCTACAAAGGCCCAGCTCTCCTGCCAGACTCTGCCAGATTGTTTTCGTCTACCTGATGGTGATCTTCCAGTCTGCTCAGTTTTTGATTCTACTTCGCTTTCAGTATACTTACCTGCATTTTTGAATTTCCTAGTTCCTGCATTCCGGTTTCTGGCTCCTCATTCCTCCACTGCGTATCCTCCCTGGTCATTAAACCTTTGTTACTTTTGCATTTTTTGTCTCCTCGTTTTGAGTCCTTTTTGGGGCCGCTCCTGTGGTGCTTAACATGTGTATGTGTATGATTATTGTTTCTCTCTTGGCACAAACTTGAAATAAAAACAAATCAAATCAAAAAAGCTACAATGCCATTTATCCACCCATTTTCTTCCCCTTAGCCAGGGCCAGGTCACGGCAGCAGTCTAAGCAGGGACTCCCAGACTTCCTTCCAGCTCCTCAGGGGCGAGGTGCTTCCCCATAGAGCGTGTCCCTTCCTCTTGGTGGTACATGCCCACCAAGAGGAGGCCCTTAATAGTCTTGACAAAGAAATAAAAGAATCAAGTACAATGATGACATTTAAGAAATACATAAAATCAAATGCAATGTGGATGTACGAAAAAGAAAACTAAGTTGTTGTGCATAAAAGTGAAGATTTCTATTTGCAATTGATCAGTAATTGTTCCTGAACTGATTTGGAATGTTTAGTGACCATCGGTGTTGATGTATTGTCTTGAAATTTCATCAATTTCTTGTATGTCTGATGTTGTGACACTCTCGATGTCTTTTTATACTTTATGAATGAAATAAAATAAAAAAATAACACCAGCAAGAGGCGCTCTTGACGTAAAGGAGCAGTGACTCTACTCTGAGCACCTCCCGTGTGGCTGACTGTATCTCTAAGGGAGCGCCCAGTCACCCTGCGGAAGAAACTCATTTTGGCAGCTTGTATCCGCTGTCTTGTTCTCAAAGTTCAAAGTTCATGACCACAGGTGAGGGGAGGAACGTAGATTGAGCAGTAAATCAAGAGCTTTGCCTTTTGCAGACAATGCCATGCCTATGCAACCAGTCAAAGGTTTGGACACACTTTTTCATTTCTTTTTGTTTTTAGTGTAGTTTCTCAAAAAAGGCATCAAGACGGACACATGTGGAAAGTAGCAAACAAAAAATAAACTCAAAATAACTTGTTTTAGACTAAGAAATATATAAAAAATAGCCATTACCTTTTGCTTTGAAACTGCTTTGTACTTTGGGCATTTCTTGACCCTGACATGTCACAGCTGTGCAGTGAAAACCATTTCAGGAGACGTCATCAAGAAGGTCCTTGAGAAAAGGCCAGAGGGTTTACAGCTCTGTCAACAAAGCAAAGTGTGGATACTTTGAGAATTTGAATATAAAACACCGAAAAATATTGAGCTGAGTTATTTGACTTTTTAAAAAACATGAAGAAAAACAGAGATGCAGCTGTGCAGTCAGCAAAACGGGAAACATGTGAGGGTTTACAAAGTCCTGCAAAGCTCCCAGGCCTCCACACATGCCCCAGTGTAATCCTACCTACACGAACACACACACATGCACACACACACTGCACCAGCTTTTTTTTTAGCGCTCTGACTCTGCAGACCCCTCCTCACCACACTGGGGTCTCATGGCGGCCGGGACCAGCTCTGCAGAGATCCACAGGGTAAACAATCGCCACCATGGACAGAGATTTAAACCTACAACGAGCTGAGACCTTCTCCTTTGTCAACCCCTGGATCAGATACTTCCTCTTCTTCTTCAGCTTCTTGTTCTGGGTGAGCGAAAGCCGGGTTTTTTTTTAGTTTCCAGAAAGCCTACGTGTGTATATGTGTGTATGTGTGTGTGTTTTGCCGTGCTACAAATGGCTTTCGCTGTGGTGCAGTTTAAATAAAACCTCGTATTCAGTGAGGCAAAAAGAAAAGGCCAGAACCCAAAACCCAAAAAGTAAAAAAGAGAATGAATAATAGATAAAGAAATGTAATCCAGAGATAGAGCGGAGCCTCCCCTGGTGAACACTTTAGTCTGATAGAGGTCATATGAGACCACACAAAAACTTTTCTTGGTAAAAATCATCGAGGTTTGAGGATGTGTCTGAAGGACCCACGTCTCACATCACACTCTGTTACACTTGACGGTACGAGCAGTAATAGCATAGTAACAGGAAACACTGTAATTGGAAATTGCATGGCAACAGAGAAAATGCATTTTGAAGTTCTGTTTCAACATTTTTATCAAGCAAAAAGCAAGTCTCCTGGTTGTTTTTGTTTCTGGTGGGTCTGTAGCAGGGGTCCCCAACCACCGGGCCGGGGACCAGTAGCAAGCCGTAGGTTGTTTGGTACCGGGCACGAACCTCCCCTTCCGTACGCCGTGCGAGTTGCAACTACTAAACCAGAACTAAACCAGAACTAAAACAGGGTCTAAAACAGTACTAAACCAGGTCTAAACCAGGAGTAAACCAGGTCTAAAACAGAGTCTAAAACAGGGTCTAAAATAGGTCTAATACAGGTCTAAAACAGTTCTAAAACCAGGACTAAAACAGGCCTAAAAATCAGGTCTACAACTGGTCTAAACCAGGTCTAAAACAGGTCTAAAAACAAGTCTAAAACAGGGTTTAAAACAGGACTAAACCAGGTCTATACCAGGACTAAAACAGGACTAAACCAGGTCTAAACCAGGACTAAACCAGGTCTAAACCAGGACTAAAAACATGTCTAAAACAGGGTCTAAAACAGGATTTAGCCATTACTCAAACATGCTGCGTGGACCGCCTCTTCCCATACCTGATCGATACACCTATCCCCGCCCCCAAGAGAGCCTGAAATCTGTTGAAATCCTACAAGACACTGACAAGATACAAACAGGACAGAGGCTCTTTCTGCAGGAGACATGAGCAGTAGAGTGCAAAGTGACATCTGATAATCCTGTCGTAACGCTGTTATTTTACTGGCGTGTTACAGTCACTGTTTGGAAAAAGCATGGTATTTAATTTTAAAAAATTAAAATCTGTCTGTGTACCAGACAAAGAGTTTGTTTTCATACCTGCTCCCTGTGGTCTTCCTCAGAGTCACGTGATGTTGCTGATGTGATGTTCATACAGGTTTTGGCGCTGTCTTCCTGTTGTAGGAGGCATCTGCAGTCCAACTTCCTTAGTACAGTATCCCATTGTGTGAGAGTAAAAAAGCCCCTTCGTCCTGGTTTATCATCCTGTGGACACGTTTCTGTATTTTGCCTCTTTAATCCAGCGATGGTGTTTGTTTTCCTCTGTCCCAGTGATGTTTGCTCCGTCCCGGTCCATAATGTGGTTTTCTCTTTTACACTGCTCCGAAATGGCCAATTTGAGTTGTCCCTGTTCTGCTTTGTGTTTTTTTTGCTTGTGTTTCACCTTCGCTGTTTCCTTCTCGCATTCTGTTCTATGTTCCTTTTTTCATTTTTTCACACCCTCCTTTTTCCCCGATGTGTGTTTTATTGCAGGACATGCAGGGTATTTTGTATACTATGACTTTCCATTAATACTCCGGTTCTGTTTTTCTTTTGGATGGACGAGTGATAACATAAATTATCGGAAGACCAAATGAACCTCATTGAACTGTCTGTAAATATCTCAAGTTACTACACCGACATTTGCGGCTTACAGACAAGTGCAGCCTATATGTACTTTTTTTTTTCTTCTTCTTTTAAAAGTGAGTTGATGCGGCTTATACTCAGGTGTGCTCAATAGTCTGGAAATTACAGTACTATATATATTTTTTAAATCTGTATTATAATGTTGTTTCATTCATACATCTTTAATACACAGACTGATTAGATAAGAATGTAGCAGTCACTGTGCACAGCAGTGATGTAGCAGCAGTGTGTGTGCCCCCAACGACGGCAAAACATGCACAGAATACAGACAATTATAATGAAATTGGTTCTTGATTCATTTTGTTCAGTCTAATGTTGTATTCAGTTTGGGGTCTTCACAATATGCAGATGCTTTCCATTGTTTCTCCGTATGTCTCTAACGTTCACACAAACCAATTACATTTCTACATAGTTTGTCATTTGAAAAGAGAAAATGAAAGGAATTATTTACAATAGTGGTGCAGAACATTTAAAGTAATGTAAAATCTGGTTTATTTTAGTTAAAGAGCCCATATTACGCTGTTTTCTGATCTGTTATCATGTTGTTTCCTCATCACAAACAGTTCCTGGAAATTTACCCTGAGGTCTTTTCTCAGACAGAAAACACTCTGTTCCGCCTTGTGATGTCATGTAGTAATACAGGAAGTGCTCCACTGTGTTTTTAAACTCCATACAACTTCACCAGAATCATTTAGGCAAAAAATAAAAAACAAGTCTAAAACAGGTCTAAAACAGGACTAAACAAGGTCTAAAACAGGGTCTAAAACAAGTCTAAAAACAGGTTTAAAACAGGCTTATAACAGAGTCTAAAATAGGTTTAAAACAGGTTTAAAACAGAGTCTCAAACAGGTCTAAAAACACGTTCTAAAAACAAGTCTAAAACAGGTCTAAAAAGAGGTTCTAAAACAGGTCTAAAAACAGGGTTTAAAACAGGACAAAAACAGGTCTAAAAATAGGTCTAAAAACAAGTCTAAAACAGCTCTAAAATAGGTTTAAAACAGGTCTAAAAACAAGTCTAAAACAGGTCTAAAACAGGTCTAAAAACAAGTTTAAAACAGGGTCTAAAACAGGTTTAAAAAAGGGTCTAAAACAGGTCTAAAAACAGGTCTAAAGACAGATCTGAAAACAGATCTAAAACAGGTCTAAAAACAGGTTTAAAAAAGGGTCTAAAACAGGGTTTAAAACAGGACTAAAACAGGTCTAAAAACAGGTCTAAAACAGGGTCTAAAACAGGTCTAAAAACAGGTCTAAACAGGTCTAAAACAGGGTCTAAAACAGGTCTAAAAACAGGTCTAAAACAGGTCTAAAGCAGGGTCTAAAACAGGTCTAAAAACAAGTTTAAAACAGGTCTAAAACAGGTCTAAAGCAGGGTCTAAAACAGGTCTAAAAACAAGTTTAAAACAGGTCTAAACAGGTCTAAAGCAGGGTCTAAAACAGGTCTAAAAACAAGTTTAAAACAGGTCTAAAACAGGTCTAAAGCAGGGTCTAAAACAGGTCTAAAAACAAGTTTAAAACAGGTCTAAAACAGGTCTAAAACAGATCTGAAAACGGATCTAAAACAGGTCTAAAACAGGTCTAAAGCAGGGTCTAAAACAGGTCTAAAAACAAGTTTAATACAGGTCTAAAACAGGTCTAAAAACAGATCTGAAAACAGATCTAAAACAGATCTGAAAACAGGTCTAAAAACAGGTCTTGGCGCATACATACATCATGACCAAATAGCAAGCGATTGGTTAAGTAAAAAAAGTACCCGCCTACTGTCGAGTGAACAAATCCTAATGCTGCGAGGTCAGATGGTTTCCACGAAGTGAAACCGGCCTTTCTATCATCATGGAGACCAAACCAGACTAAGTTCAGCTCACAGTCAGAATGCCTGTTTTTCTAGGTATTTTTTGAGCTATAAAACCACCTGTAATTGAATAAATGTAAGGTAGAGCTGTTTAATGTCACACTGTGGAACATTCCAGGCAGAGCAATGACATCTCTATAGTAACAAGACGGTGACGGACCCCCAACCGGAAAGTTACACACTGCACTTTTCAAATCCATGTGGTTTTCAGCTTTTATTTACTCTGGTCTAAAAGGAGTAAGTCTACAGTAATAAGGCCTGTTCATGAGCCAGTAAACCCGGTGACAACTTCTCTAAGATAAAATGTTTTTTATCTACCGGCAAACGCTCGAGGCAAACACGATTTTTACGCTGACAGAGCATAAAAATCAAGATGGAAATTTAAAATCTCTAAGCTAACCAGGGGCTGCTTTATGTCTTTATTATGGGCATGTCACCGTCTCACAAAACACCGTCACACAGCTCTGGCAGACCAAAATGACAAGTCAATACATTTTATTCTTTACCAACATCCAGTTACACAGAAGAAATAACTTGTCTTTTCTCATTTCGTCCACCCAGAGCACTTTTATGTCACTGTTAAAGGTTCTATATCACGCAAAATTGACTTTTTTGAGCTTTAACTCTTTCCCCCATGAAGACGACATTTGGCGACCCTCCTTTTATCGTTAATGACGTGTTTTGACGCCTCCGCCGTGTCACTAAAGACGTGATTTGACGACCATTAGAAACAGCTCGGTTTTTCACATGGGTCCGGTCAAGCGGAAACGGAGGGAAACAGGGGCAGATTTTTTTACATTCAAATAGCTCTTATTCAGAAACTAGAGGGACTATTGAAATAAGTAAAGTATTAGAATGTAGGAAAGAGTTACACTCCAACAGGGTAAAGTTAAACCTGTGATATTCTTTCAAGTTGTTGACAAAAAAATTTAAAAACTCATGTCGGTAACAGAGGGAATGAAATATGCAGCACTTTTTGGGCAATAAATACAAACAGTGATAACTCTTGGTTCTCACTTACATATCCTTAACAAACTGGTTTGAATATTTGCTTCATATAGTTTTCTACCATATGGTACAAGATTACTTACTTTTTGAGTAATGAGATTTTTTATTAAGAAAGGTCATGGTAACGGAGGGAAAAGTAACGGAGGGAAAATTGTGCAAGTAGAAGGTGCATGATTTTGCATAATTTGTCAGCCTTTTTCTTCCAAATACTTTAATATTACTTCAAAATGAAAGGAAACTATTTCTATAAAATATTTTAGTCCTTCCAAGCAAATTTTTATCATTTTAAATACT